ATTCCTTGAGCTGGGGAGGTCAAGGCTGTAATAAGTCATGACTGCACCACTTTACTCCAGCCTGGGTGACAGAGTGGGACCCTGTCTCAAAAAAAAAAGAGAAAGGAAAAAGGGAAAAAAGAAAAATGCCTAAGTGGCCAAATACCTTATGAAGTTCAAGTATGCTATTTTACAGGAAACATACTCAACTTTCTTCTCTGTGCCGGGTTCATATAGTCTTGTTCCTAGTTCACACACGCTTGGTCACCTGCCTTCCAAAGCGCATGGCAAACCAGATGATGAGAGCAGCTGACAAGTAGAGACAGCTGTCATTTTATGTTGGCAGCTACAATAAATGACATTGTCTGATGGGAGAAAATGAGCGGGAAAAACACTTCCAAAAAACAGGCAGAAATATAAGAGGTGAAATCCCAGAGTTTCAGAACAACTTTAGGGCAAGCAAGCCTATGTGGCCTTTGTCTTCACCACCCTACTACAACACAGGGAGATGACCGACTTGATGGTCCCCAGATGCTGGAGTCGGGAAGATCCCTATGGTGCTGTCCAACTCTAATTTACAGATGAGGAAACAGAGGCCTCGGGAAACATTGAGAGCCCAGTTCAGGATCACAGCTGGTTAAGGGTGAAACTGCAGCTACAACCAGGATCCCCAGACCCCAAGGGCCAATTTTTAACCTATATGCCCCACGCTGGAAAAGTGAAAAATAATTCAGTGTTTCAAAAGGTTTCAAAAGGCCAGGAAGGAATTAATAAATGTTTAAAGAATTTTGTTGACAAAATGGTTGAAAGCTCATTGGTTACATATAAGAATTAAATGAGATAAAGCATAGAAGGTTATCACTCAAACGTAGAAAGAAATCAACATGTCATTAGTTATTATAACTTGAAAATCTGATATATAAAAAAATGCCTTTTTATAGAAGTCAGAAGAAAGTAGGTTGAGCTTTTTTTTTTTTTTCTTTTTGTTGTTTTTTGAGAGGAGTCTAGCTCTGTTGCCCAGGCTGGAGTACAGTGGTACAATCTTGGCTTGCTGCAACCTCCACCTTCCAGGTTCAAACGATCCTCCTGCCTCAGCCTCCCGAGTAGCTGGGATTACAGGCATATGCCACCATGTCCGGCTAATTTTTTATTTTTTATTTTTAGTAGAGACAGGGTTTCACCATGTTAGCCAGGACAGTCTCAATCTCCTGACCTCATTAACCACCTGCCTCAGCCTCCCAAAGTGCTGGGATTACAGGCATGAGCCGCCATGCCCTGCCTGAGCATTTTTAATACTAATCTTTTAAATACCTTTGCTCTGCCAGAAAATTAATTTTCATAAAGCAATACATTGTTGGATCTCACTCTCAGAAAGGTCCTCCTGAGCACCCTATTTTAACAGTACCCCATCACTTCCAGCTCTTTACTTGATTTCATATGCTTTGTAACCTATTACCATATGAAATTAAAGATATGTATAAAATCTTTCCTCTAAAGCTTCTCCTAAAGTTAACAGCTGAAATACTATGATTTTCTTCTAGGTTTTAAATAGTCCTCTTATCAGAAAAGATTTAGCCCTTATCCTCAATCTCACAATCACTAGTCAATTCACACAAGCTGAGTGATTGGTAGAACAGGAGTCTCTGCAAACTGAGTCCAACCAGCTTGAATAATAACATCATAACACAGTGGGGTCCCTTTATTGTGGTAGACTCCAGGTCCAAATACCAAAATTCCTATTCTAAGCTTTATTAAGATTTTCTAAATGTAGCTGTGTTTCAAGAAAAAATGCTTGGTCAATGGATAGCCAAAGTCATGTAAAACAAGCATTCCCATCACATGGGTCCATTATCACTGATTTTACATGGCAGACCTTAAAACACATTCCTTGTAAAATCAGAGTAAGAATTCTCTTCAAAAACAAACAAAACACATTCCTACTTTTCCCACTCTCTCCCACATTCTTTAAAAGGGTAGGGTTTATTGCCAAATGAAAACCTAAGTGTATAAATAAAACTAGACAAATCCTTAGATTAAGATGGAAAGAAGATGATCTTTTGACCTCTTAATATTAGTTTCATCTAACTTCTTTTTTTTTTTTTTTTGAGATGGAATGTCACTCTGTTGCCGAGACTGGAGTGCAGTGGGTTGATCTTGGCTCACTGCAGCCTCTGCCTCCCAGACTCAAGCAATTCTCCTGCCTCAGCCTCCTGAGTAGCTGGGACTACAGGCACTCGCCACTATGTATTTATTTTGTATTTTTAGTAGAGACAGGCTTTCACCATGTGGGCCAGGCTGGTCTCTAACTTTTGGCCTCATGTGATCCACCTGCCTCCCAAAGTGCTGGGATTACAGGCATGAGCCACACACCTAGCCTGATCTAACTTCTTTAAATGATCATTCCATATTGTTAAACAATGTTTCTAATGAGAGATGGGGAAGTATGTTAGATGGTAGGAGGCCTGAATAGTTGAAGGCAATTGAGAAAAAATTAGTTATTTCCTTGGCACAAAGTAAATCTACTACTCCTGAAGTATAAGAAAAAATAAAAACAATAAAAATAACCCCCTTGATCAAATAATTTTTTTTTGTAATCGACTTGTCCTGATCATTAGTGCCTACGTGTTCATCCCATTATTCTTACATGCATTAGTGAATTCCTTTTCTTTTTTATCTCTCAAGATTCCAGAAGTAGATTAGTGGATTCCTTAAGTGTTAAAGAAACCCTTGTCTGTAATTCCAGCTACTCTGGGCTGAGACAGGAGGATTGCTTGAACCCAGGAGGTGGAGACTGCAGTGAGCAGAGCTCACACCACTGCACTCCAGCCTGGGTGACTGAGTGAGACAGAATGAGACTCTGTCTCAGAAAAAAAAGTAAAGAAAGAAGCCCTTGCAATCAGAGAGAAAAAGAGCATTAGAACGTAAATTGACTAAAGTTGAATATACTACCACCAGTTTCCTGCCAATGGCTGCAGCTATGAGATGTGGATCGAGGTCACAATTAACACTCCATTATGTATGTCCTCACAATGCATGAGGTGAAATGTGTATGTCATGTGTCCACATTGTAAGATACTTGCTGTAAGCAGCAAAAAGATAGGAAGGAAAGTCTACAGGCCAAATCCTATGTGAATCTCCCCATTCTCCCTCTCCCCAAATACTGGTTTAGGAATTCTCCGAGGTTTGAAGGTTATGAATGTTATCATCCGAGGATTCAGAACTGAGGTAAAAATACTGTGAAAGATAGGAAAAAAAAAATCAGTAATTGAGTCTAAACCAATATCTTTCCACACTCTAAGGAAATGTATTTTTAATATAATAGTTTTATTGAGATATTCATATAGGCTGGGCACAGTGGCTCGTGCCTATAATCCCAGCACTTTGGGAGACCAAGGCAGGCAGATCACGAGGTCAAGAGATTGAGATATTCATATATCATGAAGTTCAAACTTTTATTTTTTTATTTTATTTTATTTTATTTTATTTTGAGATGGAGTTTCATTCTTGTCACCCAAGCTGGAGTGCAATGGCGCAATCTCAGCTCACTGCAACCTCCGCCTCCTGGGTTCAAGCGATTCTCCTGCCTCAGCCTCCCAAGTTGCTGGGATTACAGGTGCCCACCACCACGCACAGCTAGTTTTTGTATTTTTAGTAGAGACAGGGTTTCACCACATTGGCCAGGCTGGTCTCGAACTCCCAACCTTAGGTGATCCACCCACCTTGGCCTCCCAAAATGCTGGGATTACAGGCATGTAATCCCATTACTGCACCTGGCCAAAGTTCAACCTTTTAAAGTGTACAATGCAGTGTTTAGTATATTCAGTAGGTTGCACATCCATCACTAACATTCTTTCTTCACCCTAAAAGAAAACTCTATATTTAGCACTCACTGCTTCCCCAGCTCCTCCCCCGCATGACCAGGTACATGCTTGCATCAATCTACTGTCTCTGTGGACTTGCTGATTCTGGACATTTCCCGTAAATGGGACCAAAAAAATTTGTGGTCTTTGTGTCTGACTTCTTTCAGGCAGTCTAATGAGCTTAAGATTTACCCGTGTTTTACATATATCATTCCTTTATTCTTTTATTGCCCAGTAATACTTCCTTGAATAGTTTAACCACATTTTGTTTATCCATTCACCAGTAGATGGGCAGTTGAACTGTTTCCACCTTTTGGTTATTGTGAATAATACTGCCATGAACATTCATCTACAAGTTTTTGTGTGAACATATGTTTTTATTTCTCTTACGCGTATACCTAGAAGTGAAATTACTGAGTCAAATGGTAACTCAGGCTGGACTGCAATGGTGCAATCTCGGCTCACTGCAACCTCCGCCTCCCAGGTTCAAGTGATTTTCATGCCTCAGCCTCTTGAGTAGCTGGAATTACAGGTGTGCGCCACCACACCCAGCTAATTCAGACTGTTTTCCTAATTGGCTGTACCATTTTATGTTCCAATTAGCAAAGTATGAGGGTTCAAATTTCTCCACATTCTTGCCAACACTTGCTATTGCCTTTTTTATTAAAGCCATTCTATTGGGTATGAAGTGGTGTCACAATTCGGTTTGGATTTGCATTGCCCTAATGATGAACAATGCTGCACAGCTTTTCATGTGCTTATTGGCCATTTGT